AAAAACTTTATATATATATATAAACTATATAAACTATATATATAGTTTATACAAAGAATTAGAATTTCCTTTAGCCTGATCCCTTTAAGTCTTATGCAACTTTTCTCCACATTTGAAGATCTAACATAGCAAAAACTTGGAACATTTAAAGTTTTGGAAATACAGCACAGGACATGACTAAACATACAAAGCTGACCACAATGCATAAAATAGAAGACATACCAAAAAACTGACAAAATATTAAAGATGATTCCAAGTTCTTGCTTCTTAAACTCAGACAACAGGCAGCATACTGTAAACATCATTCACACATACGTACTTTTGCACAAAGTAAAATAATGTTAAGCATTAAACAAGATAATGGGAGAGCTTTAGTTAATTATTTTAATACTTTTTTTTCAGGCAGATTAATGCCTATTATACATACAGATTCATAAGAATTACTAAACATAATTTGTTTTTGGAACAAACATTTTCCTTTTGTTCACAGAGTAATCAAAAAAGCAGCAATTTCACACCTCAAATTTTAGTTACTGTTCATTTAATTTTGGTAATTCAGTAAAGGCTATACCATTTTCTTAATTTAGCAATTATGGAAAATTACAGTAGATAGAAATGCTTCTACAAATGATTTTAAGTTTTGTGAATAGCTATATGTTATAGTGTACCTATTGCAGCCAACATCTACTGTATCGACTTGTGCTGTAAACCAAGTTTTTCCACTGTTTATTCCTTTCCTGACTGCACCCTCTTTCTTGAACATTTATGAAGCATTTCCTATAGCTGTACGTATTTCAGATACGTAGAGTCACCCATATCTTGGTTGTAAAACAGAAGTTATTTATCAAATGTTACAGAGATTTAAGAGAAGCAATTATCCCTAAAATATGTTTGATATTAGAAACATTCAAGTTAATATTAGAAATTTTTAAATGGACTTTTTCAGACTAACTGAATTTATTCTTATTATTTCCAAGTTTTCTGAAAATTGCCATGGAAGGGCTGGGGGGAAGAATACTGGCTACAATACAGTAACAGAGCTATAAAAAGAGTTTAAATATATATATATACACATTCAAATGTTTAGCACACCTCTAGTTTATATATCTTTCTCCTTAACCAATGCAACTGCAGGGCCTTCAGGAAGTTCCAAAGACAAAGCCAAATACAACTACGTGGTTGCCACTGACTTCAGTGAAAACCCTTTCCCTTCCTTTGAGTGAGGGAAATGGTAGACAAAGATCACACAACAATTCTGAACAAGGTGTATATACACCTCCTGTGCCTGCAACTTCCTCTGTACACAGCTCAGTTCACAAGTGTAGCATGGGCATATTTTAAAGGTTCTCTGCAGCAATACAGCTTGAGATAACTGTCTACTACTAGCAGATAAAGGTGTGCGTGTTGCAGAACAAAGTCCTAGAAGCATCCAGAGTAATCCAGAATATTTCTTCTTAAGTCATAAGAAGGCTGGCAGAACAATGAATGACATCTGTTAGTTTTTTGGGACTTCATCAGGGAAATATTTTGGATGAATTTTCATTATTGGAATCCCCATATAATGCATCCTTACTAAAAAAGCTCAAAATGCGCTTAAACTACGTGGCTCTAAAATAAATTATCATGTATTAGGGCCTAATAGCATCTCAAGAAGCAGCTCAACAAGTGCTGAAAGAAAACACTGATTCCTTGGGTCAGCTGAGAGAGCTTGGATAGCAGCATCCTGGTGGAAGGTTGGGAACGCACCAGAGGTCACAGAAGCCAGAAAGGCTATGAGAAAACAGCAGATTTCCTATGCGATGTACTGAAATTACAAGGATATTCATCCTGCTTGTTTTTCACCTACAGCGTACAGGTTTGTGTGCACATACCTTACATATGAACACTGGGCTTTACTTGAATTAAAATGTGTTTCCAGCATGTTTTAAGTTGCAGGATACTGTATATTCTTACTTATTTCAGGTAAACCAAACACATTCAACTCACTACTGTGTACAAACCTCATAGTGTTCATATTCATCCACATCAAATGTCTTAAAGTCAAAAAATCCATGCTGCAAGGCCTAAAAGGCAACAAGGTGTCAGTTTATTCTGAAATATGATATATAATCTCATTTTATAATACTGCTTTTGAGAATCAAAACTGAATCACTAGATCTTTGTGCTTTTGCCTTATTGAAGCCTGTATGTTAAGACAACACTACATTTTGCACAGGCTAGCAACACAGACAACAAAAACTCCAACCATTTCACTAAAGCATGTCAGACTCATTATTTCCCCATGGAATACATTATAATGGGACACAGAAGCTGTTGCATATCACTTAAATAATAAAATTGATTCTCCCCACCCCACTATTTATGTTTTTTTTCTGTAAGGTAGACGACAAATTGAAAAGCAATTCCCTTTTTGTTACACATTTATTCAATGATTTCTATGCTGAATATATTCTCATGCAGTTAAGGCATAATAAAATACAGAACATTAAGAGTTTACTGATTTTCCATACCTAGCATGATACTCTGAGTTTATCACCATAACATCCAGGCAAAATGGCATATGCAGAATTCAGTACTGTGTATAACCTGTTTTTTATGATTTGCTTTTAATATACATTCCACTGATAGAATCAAGTTCACTAGACTACATTAGACAGTATTTATTACAAGATGAAAAAAAGACTTGTATTTGATTACTGTATTATTACTAAATATGCCAATTTTGTACTAAAGATCTGTGTATAATACCATATTAAAAACAATTATATGAATAAGGAATTCATAGCCCAAATTTCTTCCAAGGAATTAGTGAAAGACAGTTCTGCAGCATATATTTGCACTGAATCTACTGCATTCTGAGAAGTATAGATATTATGCAACATAGGATTAAGGTGTGATAAAAAATACATCACAGATCTACAATGTTAAAAACAATCATCAGTCTGCCATTATTTGCTACATATAGAGCACCTTTTTAAAGACAAAAAAATAGCTTTATATTAGACAACATAGACTCTACGATTGGACTTGTCATGAAACCCAAGATACCAAGAGGTTTGTCTGAACATCTGATTTTGAAAAGTGTATTTCATTTAACCATGGTTGGCTGGCTGCACTCCAGAACTTGTAGGCCCCTGAATCACAAGTATATATGTGCACACAAATGCCAAATTTACCCAGGTAGACTAAGATTTTACTTCAGATTAAGGCATACATTTTCCGCTCAAAGAGTTTTTACCTCTGTAGCTGAACTGGACAAAAATTCAATAATAAGTTTTATGGGAACAAAGAAGGAAAGAATTATTCTCAAAGTCCTTCTGACATGTTAGTTGCAGATAAATTACAGTGACTGCTTCACAGAGCTTCAGGATCCGTAGAATGCTACACAAATTAGAGTCTTGCTGTTAACTGACAGCTCCTTTCCCACCCCCACAGAACTAAAAATATTAAGCTTGATCTCTCTTTTTTGAGGGTTTAAGAAACACTTGTTTTTCCATACTTTTAAGAGTTACAAATAGTCTATAAAGTGTCTGTACAGAACTGTTCATATAGCCTCCTCCGTTCATCAAGATCACTGGGAAATTATGAACAAAATTTAATCTTTGCTAATAGTATGAAGTATACACTATAACACAAGGTTGCCAATTAAGATGTGACATAACATTTTAAGAAAAAGCAATATTGGAGCTTAATATTCCCCAGGACCAGGACTGTTGAAAGTGACACATCAAAACACTAGTAAGATATGTTAGGTTTCATTCTTTTTAAACAATTCCAAAAAGATTAGTGTCAAGCACTGAACCAGCTGTTTTGGGGGTAAGTTGGGGTCAAGTCCCTCCAAAAATTGCTCTGATTAAATCACAGTATACCTAGGTGTCTGTCTCACTTGGCCTTATCAACCTATGTTATTCCCTTTTACCAATATCTATAAATTATCTGTTCCCAGATTTAGTGCACTGCCTTGCACTGTTAAGAACTGCTCCCAGGCAGGCCTGCGGCGTTTGCACATTCTGATTCATAAGGTGAAGTTTAGAAAGCTGACAAAGACCAGGCCAGCCAGGTAAAAGTGTAACTTTCTTCCGTTGTAACTACTCACACAGTCCTCGGTAACTTAGGCTTCATGACAGCATACTACTCATTCACACATTGTGCTCTGAAAACAGATTTTTTAATGTATTTTAACAGTATTTTCTTTCACATTTTAAAAGTCAATTAAAATCTGCTTTGCCAAGGAAAAGTGTTGTTACCTTATTTATTCCCTGTAAACAGTCCAAGACTGTAAGATTGTACGTGCAGTTTCCAAATGAAGCATCCCTATAGATTTAATACAAATGAATTTAATATACATGGAATTATTTTAAGACCTCAGGGAAAGGCAGCACACAACAAAATATATTCAAGTTATTCAATCCCCTCCAAGAACTCTGAATTAAAGTTTGAAGAAAACATCTTTTTAGAAGCTTGTTTATGCTAAAGCAGACCCCTTCCAAAGATGTAGCTTAGTGTAAATGCAGTTAGATACTGCAAATTATTTTAAGTGCATATTTTACATCAGCTTACTACATGCCTTTTACCAAATTATTTATGCTGTCCTGCAACAGAAAGCTTTGCACTCACTCTCAATTGTGTAATTATTAGTATTGCAGCAAATAAAGCAAAACTTGCTTTAACCATTATTCGAGTCTTAACTGAGTTACACTAACAGGGAAAGGCAAATAGACTACTAGTTTGGATTTCATTTACAGATTCTCATTTTGATACCTGATTACAGATGTGATTAAAAATTACTCAGATATAACTGAATTTAAAATTACTTAACCTCAGTTCTGCCACTATGAAAATAATAATTTCTCTTTAAAAGACGACAAAGCAAAACATATTCAAATGGTAAGAGACACCAACATAAATAACACAACCAAAAAATAACAGCAACAAATGCATTGTGGAAAAAAGAAAAAGTTCTTTTCAAGGTGTGCTTCAGACCAGTTTGCATTTTAACAAAACTCTGCCTGGGCAAATTATTTCCTAATCACTCATTGAAGAAATCTTTTATAGCTTTGCTCTAATCTGTCTTATCCTGAGTTTTAAGAACTGCAGTTTATCAGAACAGCAAAATTCTATGTTTCAGCCATATACATCTTTAATCTACAATTGATGCAAAATTTCAAGCTTTCATTGATTTTTTGATAGTCTACTTGCTATAAGTAGTATGAAATTTGTTACATTGATATGCTCCTTCAATTCCAGGTACTTTAGGAGTAGAATATTCTTACCTATTATTTAAGAGTAAAATAAGTATAACAGTTTTGAGCAAGCAGTGTTCATAGAAAACGTACTTAAGAAAATAAAAAGCTACAATTTTGGGAGTGTCATCTTACAGGCAGGCTACTCTAGAAAAGCTTTCAAGTTAATAGATTATTAAAAAAATACTTAGCCACAATGTTTTAGAATAAGAACTTTAGTGTGAATAAACCTTCAATATCCAAATCCAAAGAAGCTTTTCTTTAAAATTACATTAGATAAGCAGAATATACCAAAGCTGTAAACCAGAAACTTTACAGACAATAAATTTTTGAGACGAGGAAGCTGGATAACAGATCATTTTAGCACAAAAGCATTTGAGCAAACAAAAAGGTCTTCGAGTAAAAAAAAAAAATCTTAAGGCCCCAGTGGGAACACGCACATAGCAGAAAATCTTTAAAAGCTCTAAGAGGTTTCTGAAGGGGCTGGCAGAAACAATAAAACCTAGAACAATGCAAACCACACATTAAATATTTAGAGAAAGAGGAATGGAAGACATGATTGTTGCAGACATGTTGTATGTTACATGTTCTTTTCCTATAACAAGAATATAATTTTAATTCTATCTATATTATATAACTACTTCATCAACTGATAAGGCATCTGATACTGCAGGACATAAAAACAATACTGGGAAAAAAAAACCCATGTAATCTCTAATCCATTAATAAGAAGTGCTACAAGAACGAGAGAGAGAAGGGAAAGGAGAGAGGGAGGCACAACATTGAACTTGACCTAGATGCACAAGATAAGCCTATCTCAATTCCAGGTGTACAGTATTCCTAGCTACAGCTCCCACAGACAGCTATTACCAGGGGAGTGCACATGGATGCTGGCAGCTAAAATCTATTGCCTACATCATCCATGCCTCAAACGCCTCATTTCTGTTGCTGTGCACCTAACCATTAAAACAGGTGCATTTGGAGCGGAGAAAACAGCTCTGCTGACACTTGCCATCCACACACAGTGAAAAAAGAGAAAGACTGAAAGCCAAGAAAATTCCAATTAGGCAAAGTTTTAGAATGAACAAATAAAAAGCTGCTTAAACCTAATCTCAAATTCCCAGAAACTCAAAGAACAATGGTATTCTAACGTGTTTTTTTTTTAAAGAAATGCAACACACTGAGTTAACATGTGAGAAACTCACACTCCCATCTATCTTTTGTGGCAGAATGCAATAACGTAATGAAACCATAAATAAACATCAGATAGGAATGACAGTACAGGATGGTAGTGAAATAACACCTTGAAGCAGTGGCTTAATATCACCTAATGCTTCAAAGGAAAGCATGATGTTTGATGAACCGTAGCAAATACTGAGCGCATTATATCAGACCTTGCCGTAATCTCTCTCTCCCTCCCATCCCCTCAAGTACCTTCTGGTAAGAAAACACAAGCAAATCACTAGAGTTCCTTCTATCATAATTTAGAAAACAAGAAAAATACAACAAAATCTATAGACTTTTCCCCAAGTCTCCTTAAAGCCACAGCACTCACAATCCTTTTCACAGTAAATCCAGGAATATATATATTTTCTTTTCTAGTTTCTGGAAGTACAACTGTCTGATTAGAATCAATTACAGATGCAAACCCCTTTATGAAACTTTGCTGTTTTATGCTCCAGAATTTTAAGCTAGGCTATCTAAAGGTATTAAATTTTAAGTGTAAAACCAAAGAAAATTTGGCAGCAGTTTTACATATAATCCCTGAGGACTCTGCATACTGGATCCACTGACATAGTAGAGGCAGATCTGACGTACAGGTAAGGCAAGTGCTTGCAGACTCAGTATTAGGAGATGAAACCCACGTTACCAGCTTCAGAACACACAGCAAGCAACAAAACACACCATACAGAGGTGATTTAAGTATTAAAGCAATATAAAAGCCTAGTTTATTTCTGAAGCAGTCGCAGTGTACTTATGAAGTGACATCTTTTATATTCAATCTTCCTATCAAATAGTTGATTTCGTGTAATTCCAGCTAAGTGTTAGTATTCCTTCAGAATTCACTCAAAGAGCATTTTGCAGAAGTATTAGAGAGGACAGATGCTTAATGCCAATCTTACTGCCAACTACGTGTCTAAAGAGGCCTTGAAATACTCAAAAGGCAAAGATTAAGAGTTTATCGTGACCTGATTTCCTGAATGTTTTAAATTACTTGAGTAAAATATCTTTTTGCTTAGAAGGAGCTGTCTAAGGTATTTTAAGACACTAATTATTTTGTTTCTTTCTTGTTAAAGGCAAAACCAAAACATCTCCCTTCTCAGTCACCTAGAGGACTTCCTCCAGGCTGAGTTATCAAGTTCTTTTTCTAGCCAAGAGAAATCAGTCAGAAGTCATGTAAAATCATTAAAAAGCTTTGTAAATACTTAAAAAACCACATTTGATCTTATTTTCTGAATCCTCCTGAATTAATACTTTTACTGAAGAAAACTAAATAATTAAAAACTAATGCAGAACAGATTGATTTCACCATTCTTCACGTGAACCCATTTTCTTTCCTCCTGATGTGTAAATTTACCAGACCACGGATAAAAATATTGGATACTGTCAGAATCTGTCATATTGCATACTAGTACTAACCTTTACAAAAATCCTGTTAGAAATACAGCTATTCTCATACCACTTTGACTTGAGAAGTCAATTATATAGCACTAGATCCACCAGCACGCACCTTCTTTCTACCAGTGGCAGATATATTTCACAATTTTAGAGCAATAATTAATAATACTAATTTTAGCTTGCATAAAATGCAATAGATTCTGAATGGGCCACACTTTGTACCACAGTAAAAGCAAATGCAAGCACTAACAGTTATTAGGAAGAGCACTGTAAAGAAAAAAATACCTTTACTAACTTTGAAGAAACATATAATTTTAGATGAAATTAAAATTAATTCCAGACATTCTTCCTATTTAAACTTTTTCTTCTCCTTTGTCCACTGTACGCAGTCAGCATCCTATCCTACAGATAACTAACGCAGGTGCTTATGTTTAAGACAGTAGTAGTCGTTTTTAACTTACTGGGACTACTTATGCACATACAAAAACATTTAGGTGTTTTGACTGGTGGAAACCAAGCCATTTGGATTTCAAATATTATACCTTTTTGTTCAACTCAGAAGTCTGTGTTTAAAGCAGCACAGAAGAGAAAGCAAGACCTCATTTCATATCAGAACAACAGAACAGAGCACATACAGACCTCTACCTGCAGTTTTACAGAGTGGGTGCTCCAGTTTCTGTCGCTGGTCACATGTTTCATTACAGTATTCTCCCAGGCATGGCCAAATGCATAACTACCTTGTTTTTCAAACAATGTTTTACCAATATTACCTGACAGTACTCTATGCGCTTTCAAAATGAGAAAAATGTGAATATTTCTATGAGATACAGATGTCGCATGAATCTGGGCCAGCACTGCAGAGCTGCAAATCCCACATCTGATTTCACAGTTATTGTAGCTGACCTCAATACTGCATAAAGCTTTCCCTGTCACCAAACCCCTCAACACTGTTGACAACAAAATAGTTTGTTTCCCCAGCACTTGCCAATAAAAAAATAAAACCCAAAAGCTACAAACTAAAATATAGCTCTGAAATTCATGTCATATCTAGAGATTGAACACAGTAATACTAAAACATAGTTGGTTTTTCTCTTTAACATAAAGTGAACACAGAATAATTTGAGGTAAAAATCTAAAATAATTTCACAATAGGAGACTGGTATTTATGATTATTTAAAATGGTGTTAGCACTGTTTTCTTAAATGGAAGTGAGAAGATACGGTACAAGATCTTCAAGAGACGAGAGTGTCACCAAGTGACAGTGAATCAGCCAAAAATAAAATGGAAGTGTCTCAAAAATAGTAGTGCCTTATCCTCCTGTTTTGTCTTCAGTTTTTCTACTACAAAAACAAAACAGAAAAATTCCATGTATCTTGTAAGAGCAGTATTCTGATTTCCCTCCACCCCTCAACCATATTTGCTGAAGCTGTCTTTAAATGAAATACCAGCTGAAGATCTAAGCCGATTAAGGCTTTTTGAGGTCACTGAGCTAGATGAAAGTAGATCAGTTTCCCAGTGATCACTTAATGTAAACATACCTCAGTACTCCATAAAGAATCTGACAATCCTGCAGCTTCTACCTATTGAAAATTATCTATTTTTTTCCAAATAGAAGACACTTCAGATATAAAATTAACAAACTTATTAAATAGTCTAGCTGTAAAACTTAACTGATCATTGCTCATTGATAACTCTTGCACTTGAAACTATTCAAATGCAGATGACCTATCCTGCAGAAGTTACACAATATCTAAGTTCCAGGCTCCACGAATAAACTCAAGTCAGTAAGTACTGAATACCAACGATTAATAACCCATTTCTTTTTCCCTCCTAGACCTTAGAATAGGAGGGAAGAGGTAAGACATTTGGGTTATGTTTTTCATTGTATATAAGAATCATTTTAGTCCTTTCCAAGACACTAAAGATGCAGAAGGAATGCAAACTTTCTCACAGCACCAACTTGTTTCTTCACAGTATAGCTCGATGCCAAGCAGACAGGGCAATGCTACTGCTTCCAGCACAAGTTCATTTGCTTGAGCCTCTGCATCATTCTATATTTTGCATCAGAGATGTCTCAAATGTCTTAGAACAGACAGGGAAGAAAATCTCAAAGGCCTTGGAAAAACAAGGGAATGAAGAATAAATTGTTTCTTCCCCATTCACAGCTAGACGACATTATCCCACTGCAGGCCCTCATTGAATCCACTTGCCCTGCTTTCAGTCAAGTAATTCTTAAGCTCCTTATGTATCTATTTCAGCCTCTTCCTATGACTCCGGCTCCCACATATCCTCTCCCTAACTACCAGACTCCCCATTTCTTACCTAGCCTCCTATCTTGTCAGAATCCTTCAGTTTATTTCCTGACTCCTCTTCATCCCGCCTCCTGTACAACTAGATTACACAGCCTTCTTTCCCAGCAGGATAAACTACACCACAGGTAACAGAATCTGCTTGGGCTCTAATCCAGTGCCAAGACCTGACATAGACCAAAGCCGCTCCAAACTTAAGTGCTTTCCAGCCCCACATCATATAAGAAAGAATGCTCAAGAATGTTTAATTCTCCTAGCAAAAGCTCTGTATTCCTTCTAGAAACAGCAAGGTTCTGCTCAAGAAGATTGCCTCCCTCCCATCCTCTAAAATAGCCAAAGCTTTGCATTAAAAAGACCCCAAAACCATACCAAAACTCTTAACAGACCACAGAAAGCCCACCATAAAAAAAAAAAAAATAACAATCTCTAAAAAAGCTTTAGTTTTAGCAAATCATTTCTCTCCCAGCAACCCAGGGCTTGAAACACACAGATAAAGACTGCAAGAGGAGTTATGTTTCAGAAACTGGCTACTCTATATTTATTGCCCTCTTCTTCTGAAGCTGACGGATGGAATTAAATGATTATACTTTTGTAATAATTTTGACAAGCCAGACTGCAAAAACTGAGTAGTCCCTTTGCTGGACACTGCCTTCTTCAATGTCTTCAGTTCGTATTCTCTCCCCTGGGAAACACAAAATGCTCTTTGTATATAATATACAGCTATCTTCAGAAAACCTTGCTGTTTCTTGTATTTTTTTACTCCTCCTTTGCTGAGCCCAGAGTAGCTAACTATTATATTTTGAAATATAATTTTATTAATTCAAACTCATTAAGATTTGTTTTGAATAATTAACACTTAAAATTAAATCGTTTCATGTTTTAAAATTTGTTACTGTGTTTCTTATCAGCCTCACAAGAAATCACAGAGACAATTACTTTCACTACTCCCCACCAGTCAAGCAGAAATAGCATTTTTTAATCATTGCTACTACTATTATCATCATCATTATTATAATGTATTGGTTGCAAGGCAAAGGTCTGTAGCCTTTGGTCTGAACAAACAGTGTCACATGAGACTGTTCTGCAGACACACTACTCCTCCCAAGTTTTCTGTCTTACAATTTTGGGATCTGATAACTCAGGTTCTTCACTTTGTCAGAACCTCTTTTCTACACACCTTAATCTTTACTTTGGTGAGGGAAAAAGGAATCTAAAGACATAGTAATTTCCTGTAATTCTAAACAGGAAATTTTTGTAATTGGTGAACAAAATACAGCTATTCTCAGGTAACATACATCCTCCACTACTAAGAGTTTTGATTCTTAAGCAAGTTTTGAATAAACTAAGCTTAAGATTCTGAAATATTTAGGTCACTTTAGTATTAAAAGCTCTTATATGAAAGAAATACTCCCGCCAAAGTTGAACCACTGAGAATTTGACATGAAAGGAAGAATCAGATTCTTTTAGACTCTACTAAAATGGTACATAGTAATCCCCAGAATGAAGGGAAATATCACACAGAAACATCTCACTTGCTGCTTCCTCAAAATGATAAGGAGTCAGAAGAATGTATTGACACTGTGTCTGTTCTCAGAATAATACAGTTTGCTTCAACGAATTTCTTCCAGAAATTTTCCAATAGCTGAACCTTCTGTAAATGGAATGGAGCAATGTAATTATTTCAAACTGGGAGAAGATCAGGCAACAAAGAATCTAAAAGGTGGAGAACACTATACATTATTCTTGTTTTAACTTAGATTACCACTCCTGTATTTTATATAGAATTTGGAGATGCTAAAAAACACTGACATGTTTAAAATAACATTTTTTTATGCATTGTATCAAGTATCTTTTACAATTACCTGAAAAAAATATGGGTATCAACAGCTCAGTAAACTTGCTGGGCTTTGGAGAGCTACCAATGACCAGGAGAATGTATAAATTCTCTGCCAATAAAAGCTATCACTGAATAATACCTTTTTATAAAATGTGTTTGATGGTTTAAGATTTCAAAGTCAAATTGGTCTTCACATACAAATCTACCATCCCCATAGTTTATACTATATCTGGCTCCTCCTGTACAAGCTATGAGGAGAAAGAGAATCTGATCTTCCTTTGGTGAGTGGAATCAGATTAATTTGATATAGACAAGGTAGGTCTACATTTACAGCTGCACTGGCTGACAGTGAACAGTACTTGTCAAACACTGACTCCTCTAAAATAAGAGGACATCGACCTTCTTGAAGTTGGCTTTTATTCCTAGTGTTTGCCTAAGAATAGTGTAAGGTATTTTCATTCATAAAGTCCAAGGTACACACCAAAAATAAATATGTAGAAGTCTCTTTATTAGATAGTCATGACAGCTAAAACTCCTCAGATTCAAGTCTCAATATGTTGACCTTAGTACAGAAAATAAAGACAGACTGATAGAAGTTATCTATGATCCATTGAAAACAGGAAGGCAAAGCAATTTAATAAGTGGAACATCAGTACTTGTTCTGTAAAATAGAGAAAATATAACAGCATAAAACCCCCTTCATTCACGTAAGCTAATTTAGAAGATCTGAATGACTTCCAAATAGTAGACCACGATACATCATAAAGAAAAGTTTTAATTGCTAAATCACAAACATGCTAAGAACTGTTTTCTAAACCTGACAGTTTGCAAGACTGGGAATGTTAAAACTTAAGTCAATTGAAATGGCTTTATTATTCCAACACAGAGTAAATAATTCCACTAGAAGTAAAAAGTATCTTTTCTGGAGATCAGTCATTTTGATACATCTGTATCAGACACGAAACCCTTTTTCTGGGAAGGCAATCTGAAAAATCTGTATTAAGCAAAACACAAAAGTTAGGCTCATTTCTCATGTTCACATACCTAAATGGAAGATACGGTGGATTAGATCCAGACAAAAGTGTTCTGTAAGCTTCTTCTGGTGTTTTCTTCAAGTATATTACCTAAAGGAGGTGGGGAGAGAGGAAAAAAAAATAAGCCCTGAGCCTGAAAAGTCATTAACCACATGTACGCTTGCCCCAGCCCACTAAACTCTTAAGAATGTATACTATACTCCTTTATGACCAACTCCTATGACATATATAGATCAAAAAAGACATACTCATACAAAGTAAAAGATTCAGAAATCAACAGAAACCAGGATTTCTGTTTTATGTCATTCTCCCCCCTTAAAAAAAAAAATCCACACATTGCTGCAGCTGAGAGACTTCAAGACAGACAACATCGTACTAAGATGAAAAACAGGCATCTATGCTAGGAGTTCTCTGTAGAGCTTCAGATGAGTCAAAATATCACAGCAGCTGACAAAGGAAACATTTCTCCACCGTAGCTCAATGAAAGATTTTCCAACACAAAATATTTTTGATTCCTAATTGTCAATATCAAACTACTAATTAAAAAAAACTAAACAATTCAACAAGCTGAACCTGTTACTATGAGACCAACGTATAGTTACTGTAACACCCTATGTCAAGCCTTACTCTGCTATTGCTGAATGCTATCAGTTCAGCGTACTTAAGAAATTAGAATACAACCACATCTTGTTGCATTTCAGTCCCTATTTGTACAGTAAAACTGGTCCTAAAATTAATTTAACTTGGAATACATATAAAGCAAGTGTATTATTTACAAAAAAAAAGACTTTGTCCAGTTTGAAGCAGCATATTTCAAGTGCACAAACATGTTTTGTAAACAAAGCCACACAGTTTTCCTAGTCATTTCCTCAAACTCATCTTACAACCAGCACCTAGATGGCTACTTTTCAGCTCTACACACATTTAACTGTTGAATGTAAAAGTATTTAATAATTATTTTCTTAACCAAGACATAGGCTAGTTCCTGATCTAAAAGCTTTATTCAAGTTTTGACCCTGAACACATTAAAATATAGGTAAGTAGTGGTCACTCCCAGAATATTTGCAATTTCCTTTATGTCTAGAGTCATAACTCAAGTTAATGGGATTCTTAGTGTTCTGTAAGGTGTCAACATGGTAGGCAGATTTTCCTGCATTTCTTCCTCCAGTATGGGCAAGGCAGGCAGAAAAGACAAGATAAGAATAAAACAAACAAAAAATTGACTCAAGTGAAACAGTCTGAAAAACTCTCTGCTGTGACACAATGAAAAGAGGGTCTGGAATCATCTCTGTTTTTCAACTACCACCTGTTTCACTGCTTTGAACAACTGGTCTAATTTTGGACCAAAAACCCTCTACACAAACGAATTTGCCTTCAAAAGATCAATTCCCTGTCATGGAGCTGTATTTCAGTCTCAGCAATGTTGCTGCTCCACTCATCTTGATCACAGGATCAGTATAATCACTACCCAAAAAGAGGAACAAACCCCACTTATCTTCAAATGTTAAATCTTAATGCTGCAGCAGTGTCAACATTTCTGCTTCATTTAGCAAGTGCCCAAATTATATGTTTCTCAGAACTAACGTCCCTGTAATCGCCTAAACGTCCATATCTCCCCCCCTCCTTAACCTCTGAAAGCAAAGGTTTTCTGAAACCTTCCACCATCAAAACAGACCACAATTTCTATATGAAAACAATTCCATTTACTCTGTGTTATCAGAACAATTGCTTCTAACTCAATTATTGGATTCTGTTGTTGGAGTCAAACCAGTAATTACCAATATTGACACAGATCCAGAGATCTACTTAATGGATATACGTATTCATTTAAAAAGTGGAAGGGCCCATTTCTTTTTATTTTTAAGCTGTAACGGTCTGTCTACATCGAAGATTGCTAACTAATGGCACCAACTTTATGCTTCCAACCCCTGCAGCATAGCGATGCTATTCTGTTTTCAGTAATTTGTGAAAAATTCTTTTAGTCTGTGAAAGAAGCCTCCCTTGCATTTCCTTTATAGTCCCCCTCACCACAAAGGTTTTGCACTTAAGAACAATGCACCCTGTGCAACAGATTTCAGTGGGGAGTGTATTTCAGAGAAAAATAGTGATTTTATTCATGTCAATCAGCTTACATTTAAAGCCTAAATTCCTGCTTGTAGTCAAAAGATCCTTAGAGGGTAGTTCAGAGGATTTCAGGGAAAGATGTTTCCATCTTACACAGTAGGGAGTCAGAAATCTGAAGCAGGGGCAAATTTGTATTATATTAATGTTTTCCCAATGCTACAGTTTTCATTTCAAAGAAGTTATGGTACTTCAAAGCTGTCTCTGCTCAAAGACACATATGTATGACATTTTGAACGAAGCACTGCTACTTGTGCTCATAAAAGCTCATAATAAACACACCAGGATGGAAACAGGAAAAAGATATTATTAAAACAAAAGGAAGGATGAGAGGAAAAGGAAACACTGAATGGAGTTCCCGAAAAAACAAAAGTATCACAGATGTCAAGAATAACACAATAACTGTAAGAAGAAGTATAATGAAACAAAGAAGGAAACACTACAGTACATGTCTTTAGTACTTAAAAAGTAGTGATATCCATTCAGAAAAACCCAGGAGACTGTTTTGTGACTCATCTTTATCAATGAAAACTCAGCAACTTAAACTTAGCTTCATTTTTTAATCTAATATGATGAATCTTCAGAGTGCTTTCATTCTGCGATGTATACAAGTGGAGAGAAAAAAGAAGTCCATAGTGAATACTTTGTATAAATTGAACCTGTATCTAAGAAATAATGCGAGTAAAAGCCTTTAAATAAAAAGGTCACTTTCCAGATAGCAACTATTCTCTTACAAGAGCTGTTTTACAAGGGACAAGGTCCTTCTCCCTTTTACCTCTGTCACTATTCTAACTCATAACATGTTGCACTGCTACCTGTAAAAAACAGATTCAGCAAATATTGGAAATTTTAATTTTTTTCTCTTGACACTTCCATTCTTATATTCTCAACTTCCTGAACAATGATGTGGTTGAAAGATAAAGCTCTCCACAGTTGAGACACTATGCAGGCACATGACACGTAGCAATACCAGCCACATACACACTGCCAAGAAAATTCATACCGTATGTCCCAAAAAGTTCACAAAACAAAAAGGGAATTCGTATTTTGCCAGTCAACCTTAACACTCATCCACAATATTTCAAATACAATTTGGATTCATCTTGTTCCCACCCACATGTGCCGTTTTTGAATTAGAAGTATATGGAACAGATACACTCTAGAGCTGCTAAGTTATCACAAGAATTCTGTGAAGCCAATCTAAGGCAATCTAAAGAAAGGTGTTGCATGAAACAGCAAAGAGGCTGTACGTGCTGCAGTAACTGAAAAGCCTTTGTACTTGCTCACCCTCCAAGGGAGGGATCATGGCTTTGAGCAGCGGTGTGATATGCTTAGATTACAAGAGAACAAACTCTTACAACTTCAGGTAGGGCTGAGAAATCTAATTTATATTTCTAAAGAGAAAAAACACTCCTGCAAGCAAATGGCTGAGCATGCCATAGTAGTTTGCTATTACCCAGTCATTTGCTGTGGTAAAATTACAAACTTAAGAACTCAACAGCTTTTCTCTTATTGGCATTACAAAAGTCTAATAAAAGTTATTGCTACCAAAATACACACAAAGTAATTGTGAGAACGAAATATCAGCACATCTGCTATCTACAAGGAAAAAGACAGAGTTCACTGGATCTCTTTTCAGTGTTTGTCACCTTACGAAAGCATTATGTTTCACCAGGACTGCTCAAAAGTCAGATTTTGGTCCACTAATCAAGTTTTCACTTTCAAAGAATTGCAACAGATATCCTTGTCTGCTACAAGGACAGAATGAAAGCTCTAAGTTTACCAGGAGGAGCAAGTGTCATACATATACGTTCTCTCCTCCCCCTGCCCTATTTCTTTAGAAGACAGCCACTGGTACAAACAGACTAGTATTCCTCCTGCTCTTCTCCCCTAGGGAATTCAGACCTTACTAGATAGCAGAGTACAAAACCAGGCAGAGGTTCCTTGGTTTCCTACCAGAAAATAAACACAACAAAGACATTAAGAATATGTAAAAAAGGGACCCAGCCCCTAATTAATGCACTCTCCACGATTTCTCCAAGAATGAATTTTTTGATGACAAGTGGGGAGTTCATGTAATCACTTCAGTATAACTCAGTCAAACCTACTCCCTCCCACCTCTCTTCCCCCTAGAAACTGCTATGGACAAATCGAGTCAAACCAGGCTACTTCAGTTTTGGTACACATGAAAGTACTTGTAATACTCTTTTAAAACAATTTTAAATACTTCTTTTCCAAATTAACTATCGTGGAAGACTACATGAAAAACTCAACAACTAAAATAAGTCTCCAAACAGATGAAGGGAAAAGCAAAGCAATACTAGCTTCAAAATATTCTCTGTGGCACCTGGTTAGATTTTACAAAACCTAGTAGCACTCTGTTTCTGATATCACTGAACAGTCTGTGTTGTAGTCTCTGCCATTTAGGAGGAACCCTGAACTTCTCTGTAAGATCAGAGAAGTCTGCATGGTCCTCTGTTCTTGTAACACTTTAAATATTTTTTGTCTTCTTAATCAGAATTTTATGACAGAAGTAATCTTTGCAGAATTCTCAAGAGCGAGGACAATAGTTTAGCAATGGGACATGATTAGCCCAAACGCACTAAAAGTCCATTGTAAAATTGAAATTTAGAAAATGCTTCTTCCCGAGATGTAATTTACAAGCAGGCAAGCTATTGCCAGTAGATAACTTTTGCTTAAACATATTGACTCTCCTATTCAAATATTTCAATAGCTGTAGGGTATTTCAGTTCACCATGTCTAAGAAGCTGTTTAATGGAACAATCTAAGTTGCATAATCACCACTGGAAACCCATTCCTAGAACCTGATCCACTCTTTTCCACGTTTCATTTTACACTTAATTTTTTAACACCAGGAAAATAAAACAAGCCTTCTCAATTAACTTTCACACACTGGTAGAATGCATAGCTATTACACTTTCTGGTCTCAAAAAGCTTGAATAATTTAAGAAAATACATAAAATCCAGAAGACCTTAAATCAAAGAGCACCTACATTTCTGTCACAATTTGGACATTCAAATAATAATAGATCAAATTGCCAGTTACACACCGTTCTTTTTACCGAAGAACACGATTAGATACCTTCAGGTCAGGAACCACCTTATCATGTAATGCAGGGGTGTGCATATACTGCATCTGACTTGACATATCATTTACAGGTAAAACATTCCAAAATGCAAATATTATTTCTTGAGTGTGAAACAAATACGCCTGGATTACAAAAGCCAAGCTTTCGCAGTTAAAAAAACAAGAATCAGATTATTAGGTAGATCAAAAATAATTTTAGACTAAATAAATATTCATTTTATGAATTTATAGGCATTAGTATCAACCATTACAGAAGAAAGTGAACTCCCATAACACTTGCAGTTTCGGTACACACATCTATAGAAATCATTCTGGGATGACATACTTATGTAACTGTTTTCCAATGTTACACTCAATTGAGATTAACTGGAAAGTGATTATAAGGTGTTTCCAACAACGAATACATTTTGTCCTGGTAACACTGTAGTAATAAAGAATTATTGTTGGTACATAATACCTTCAGTCATCAGAAAATACTTAAAACATCTACTAGTCCGACAGGAGAATAACAGTATGAAACGCAGATGGAAATCACATGCACATGCCAGAAATTAAGAGCTATAAGCAGCTTAAAACAGGCTAGGCAAGGGTTAAATGTGCATGGAGTTGTGGCACACTGATTTACTTTATTGTACTGGTAAGCTATCAACTCTTCATGTGATGTGCCACCTGACATCCATTATGGAGTACAGACACAGTCATGCCACAGTACACACATTATGTGCTCCTCCTTTTCTTTTTCTTTAGAGGGATTTCTGCTGCCCTCTCCCCTCAGTGCATGCCTTTATCCCAGTTTTAGCTACTGAGCAGCTCCTTTAAATAAGGACTACCAAATATACCAGACTGTTCCCATGTTTAAGTCTTAAATACTGTAAATATGGCATAGAGTTACTTAGCTGCTTGGAGTTCTGTTTTGCACCTTACGCACCTCCTTACTTTTCTGTTCCTACAAACTGGCTTTGCAAGAAGTTCTCTTCATGGACAGCAGTGCTCTCTCCTTGGGTCTAGCTAATACTGGTAAGGGCCTTTTAACCGGCTACTTAGTTGAGACAGTCATATAACAAGGACTGGACAAGGGGAATAAGAAGATAATCTCATCCCCTTCAAAATGCAAGTGTCCTACCCTTTCCAAGGCTTCTAAGATGTATCGGAAGGTGAAGGCAGGATCAGACAAAAGCAATCCAGTGAAGGCAATTAGATGCTGTAATCTACGTATGTGCTAGATGAGTATTCTCTAGCTATAGGCTTAATTAGACCAGCTTTAAAACACAAAGTGAATCTTTCTAAATACAGAACTGTAAAAAAGAGATAAAATTATAAAAACAGAGAACAAAAAGCAGTCTAAATAGAATGACTGAAGTTTCTTTACAAACCAGAGTGTAGGAATTGTTACTGAAGATACTTCCATTTGGACAGATTTTGGATCTGAAGGGACAGTAAAGCTTATAAAGATGTACTATCAAATTTAGACAAAATATAAAACACAGAATTGGAAATTAATTCGAGTATTATACAGTCAAAAACATTAACAAACTTAGAACATTCTAACTCACTTGTTCTTACTATTTGTTTTGCAGATATTCCATCAGGTCTACTCCCAAGCATTAAAAAACTAACCCAAAGATTGTTTAAAATTTGAACTAACCCCAGATTTTTTGTCCACCTTTAAATTTAAATAGATCTTCTTTCTCACAAGCATTTACGCACTATCTCCAAACTTTAAGTAAAACATTTTGTTTACTTACAAGAATCTGCAACCTAAATTATTTCAATATTATAATCTACATTTATTGAGCTTTGCTTTCAGCATGACCTCAGGCCTGAAAGAAGTATACCAGCTTTCACACAGTATAAAGCCTGACTACAGAGACTTCTAGAACTCAGCTGACCATGTGGATGTCGGGCTCAGGACCAGCAGCTTGTTAGTTTCAATACTTTATCACTGTAAAACATGCTATCGAAAAGACTTCAAGTTTTCTCCAAGTGTGCTCCAGTTCCAGACAGTAGAGTAGTGACACTGAAGTTTGAGCTACACTGCTACAAACACCCACAAGTGGCTGTGCACGTGTCAGCTTGGGACTATCAAAACTTATGTGATATTATAATAAATTAGGGTTGTGTAAGTAAGACACTCTTTGCATATTATCTGTAATACCAGAATGCTGAAATCCCTCAATTTTTGCATTATTCTGGGTAAGGTATGGAAATTAACCGAGAAAATAAATCCATTCAATAATCACAATGCCTCTGGTCCTGTAACTTCAAGAAAGACTCTGATAAAATGCTTCCTCCTCCCTAGTGTAAATCTCACTACTGCCATGAGCAGCCGTTGATCCCAAGACAGCCAGGTTTAGAGGTAAGTTTGTGGTTTTGACATTCAGTGAAATGGTATCCTATGGGAAACATGCATATGAACCACCAAAGCCACTCCTTGTGCAGTAAAGTAGACGGAGTTAGTGCCAAAGACGGGACTTCCTTAAAACTCATACAGCAAAATTTTCAGACAGCTAAGAAAAGAAGCAAGTGACAATCTGCCCAGCTCCCTAAAAGGAACATCACTTGAGATGCTATTTTGCACAGAGTGGACGTCTCTTAAGAAAGTTTAGAAGTATCCATGTGATAAATAATACTTACAGCATATGCACCTATTAAAAATGCTGCATTTGCTCGTTTGCGCTGGTCAAAACTGGTATAGTACACTATCTTCTTTCTTGATAGACTGAAATACTGTTAAAAAAAAAGGTATATTTACTGAGAGACAAATACACTTTAAAAATACTTTAAAAGTCACTTTTCCAAAACTGAAAAATAAGTCAGAAAAATTCTTATAGAGAGATTCTTAAAATTAAAGGAGAAAAAAATTACTGATACCATGAATAACCTTCTTACATTATAGAAAAGAGTGCACTGAAACAGCCACTGTATCAGGGCAGATCTCAGTTCGCTGTGCAAAAATATCCTATAAAATGCAGTTGAACAAAAGTGTTCAATATAAAATACTGGATTTTTTTTCCAAGTTTTATTATCTGAACAATAGTTTATGAATGTTGATTAAAGACATTGCAATTTGCAGACTAAAACACCCTCCTATATGTTAAATCTCTTTAGCACATAATTCTGTGGAGAAGACAGGAGAAAAACTGAAGCAATCAATCTTACAGACATTTTTTAAGTTAAATACCACCTTCTATCTATACTACCTAAAAACGGGGTGACAGACATCTTTAGAAAGCTTCGACAGCAAGAACTTATTAAGAAAAAAAAAGATTGCACAAGTGAAAAGCCTGAAAAAAAGGATAGTCAGAGACAAAACTAGTAACACTTGCAATTCTTCTTTCTTCAGGAAAAAAAGAAGCCTCTGTCAGAATCCTGTGGACAAAACTCCCATTGAAAACAAGACCAATAAGCACCAGAAAAGAACAATAATGACAAACTGCAGCAAAACTATTTAAAGCCAGAGAGGGACAAGACTGTCACTTAAAAATGGCAAGTTGGACAGTTTATTGCATTTTTTTTTCTAGCTTCATGAATTGTTTCACTTTCATTATATTCTGCATCAAATATCACTCATGTTTTTCCTGACAGATTTCTACAGTACTACACATGTACTGGATTCTGCTTCTAAACATTTGAAGCACATTTCTATTTTTAATAGTTGCACATTTGATAACCTGCCTTTATACCAGTGCTGCTGTTAACCTAACTTCAGGTTTTTAACGCCAATTTGACAATTTTCACTTACTTTCTTTTCCTACTCTTGGCACTGATGACACTTGGGGGTGGGAGATATGGTAACTGCTGCAGAATTGTGTTTTATTTAAGTAGTGCCAACTGTATTTCATTTCTGCAAATCTGTAAGCATCAACTCTCATCATAAATCTTATTGCAAATTTTAGGAGAGCTTTAACCACAGAAATGGATTTTGCAAAAACCAAATAGATTATGAACTTGGGAGAAAACCAATGTATGTATCACAGCGAGCATCTTATCCCCACCCCCACAGAAACAGCACGTCTAATAGCCGTTCTAACTGCACATTCCAGTCTGGTCTTATTACCCAAAACTTCCACAGAATGAGAGTTATCACAGCTGAGTATATTTAAATTTGTCTGTAATTTCTGAGATAGCTGGTTGCTATTGGTTGGAAGAGGTTGTGTCTTGAGACCAATGGCAACCTCTCCCTTAGTGTATGTGCAAACATACAACGCACAAGTAGTTATTTAATTAGTGAAGCATTCAATTATTAATAAAACTTGACAAAATTAATCCCAGTATTTTAAGATTCCTCCTTTCTTCCCCCTCCTCAGTTTTTTAATTTTAGTGTTCTCTAACTGCAGATCCACCCATGATGTGTAGGTTGGATGAGATTACAGTAGTTATGCAACAGTGACAGAACTTCAATTATAGCTTTAAAATAAGTAGCAGTCAACAAGTTAACTTCTTTGCAACAGTTTACCTGAAATACTATTCTAAACTGCAAAAAGCACATTCTTCCAGCTATCCAGAAGTAAGTTCTATGTAATATGACCATATTGTTTTATTTTACAGAATGGATTTTTTTAATCATGTAGGTATATCAGATCATTCCAATTTTGAGACGCTTTTGTACCTGAAGTAGCCAAAAGTGACAGCTCACTTTAAAAGTTCCCAGAACTTTTAAATTAAAGCAATATATCATTTTCATTGCTTCATTTTCAAACTGTAAGGGTTTAGTCCTTATGACCTATATTGCTATTCAAAATGTTTACATGTTTTTGAATCCTGACTGAAGTTTTAACACAAAATTGAAAACTGACATCAATTAATGGCTTACAGCATAGCAACCAGAAAACAGCAGAATTTTACTTTTCAGGAGCCTGTAAAACAAACCGCTGTTTTTATTTCCACACAAGCTACAGAAAATCAAGTTTTACAGCATTTGCTGAAGTGTCAATGCAATGCCTCTATTAACATTAACGCACAAATTCTCAACTCAGTACACTTTCAATATCAATACTAAGCTATACTATCTATTTTTTAAAATATTGATTTTATGATCATGTTTCATAAGCTAAGTCTATTCCTTTAGCTAGGTCCAATGACAGTAAGTGTTAAAGACAGTTCTTTCAGGTGACTATTTTTATAGCTCCAGAGCTCCACCTGAATGGATTAGGGCTTTAGTTCCTTTATATACTGTGCAACTCAGAAGAATCAAAAATGTTTCAACAAGGAATTTTTCAATACAAGTTGTCCACAGAATAACTACAGCTAGAGATAATATAGTAACATAGTTGCAAATAATCTTTTTTTCTAAAACAAAACTAACACATGCACTATGAGGCACTAAAGATATTTTTCTTTACTAGTAAGAAAATATTAGCAGTTTCACACATCATTAGAAGACAAAATGTAACAATATAAGAGAACAGATCTGTTAAGATCTATCCCAGAGGAACACACTCAAAGACAACCTTCTGAACTAAAAGCAGAGGTTACAAAAAAAGTGCAGCAGGTTTTGCTTTAGGTGATAAAACCCAATTCATTGGATGCATGAGAGGGTGCCAGAACACATTATTTTCACTGGGAGGTTACTTTGTTTTTTGTTTAATAGCTCTTGATCCTTCAAGACCTCAATAGAGATTTACTTGCACAAAAATAGTTGACAGGTTTAGAAGGTGCCACTGTGGACCACTACTAGACTGACACCTGTTTAGAGTCACCAGATTATTTGATAGTATTTTATTTAACAGATATGGTTTCACATACTTGCATTATTCAAGCAAGAAATTACTGGAATTTGTTTAATAAGCCTAGACCAATTCAAATACTATTTTTTTATATATATACACATGCATATATATATGTAATATATACATATAAATAGCAGTGAATACAAGGCTGGCAAACTGTCCATAGAAAATGGTGTATTAAAACATGTACATGAAACCTGCCTCAAAATCTAAGCTGTCCTAAAGGAGATGTTTGCAATTACTACAGTTCCATGTGTATGCCCAGTGGTTTATTTATATCAAAACCAAACCCCTCTGTGATCCAGCAGCAATACAGTTAGTGTACAAGAAACGTTAACCCCATAGTTCATAAGCCTGCCAGAACCTTCCCTCTCCTGTCTTTGATCTTCCGTACTTGGTATCATTTATCTCAGCAACACTCCCTCTCTGATTACCCCTGCTTCTCAATTTAGTGAGATTGTGTAAGGCTACACACACATGAAACAGGTTTTTTAAACACACACAGCAGGTTTTTTAAAGCAGTTTTTATGAAATCACACATTTATACAGAAGAAAAAATATTTATTTCGTAAATGAATCACAGTTGCTTAGTCCAGCATTTTTTCCCCAAACAGAACTCAAGGAACAAGTAGGAAGATAGCATGGCCAAGCATTTTTTCTTGCTGTTGACTTAGCTAGTCAAGATCTTCTCCATAGCAATCAGCAATCAAAACACTACAAACATAACAAGGTCAGAAAGGTTTTCCTGTCAAGCCTAACCAGGACTTAAGCTCCATCTTTCTCAGAAAATGTATACCTGAATAAATTCTTCAGCTCTTCAGAACAGAGGTATTTACTGTTTTTAAAATCAGTCACCATAAAGTTACAATAGTTTACTTCAAAGTGTTGGTCTGCCATTAGCACTTTTCAAACTGGTACTGTTCTCCTTCTCCACCTGTCCCTCAAGAAAGGAGAAGGGAACGCAGAAAACCTCCTCCATGTCTAATTCTTCTTCCAAAACAGAAACAGATACAGCTGAAAAACTTGGAGAGGCAGTTTGTGGGGTTTGTTTGTTTTAATGAGATTTTTATACCCTCGCTTCTCCTGTTCCTATTCATAGAAGTCTTAAACTTAAAAGTCTAAGTCCTAAATTCCTTTTGAGACATCATATCCACACAAAATGATCATGTCTTGTGAATACTTTTTTTTTTTTTTGTGCCATGCTTCTTATAAAGGCTCTTTTCATAAGAAAAGTTCATGAAGTGCATACCCAACCAGGTATATACCAAATCATGGCAGAAGTTATCTGGGCTTAAGCACTGTGATTGCCTCAGGGTCCCAAAAGTGCTGCAGTATGGCAACAGCAACCATCCTGCAGCAGAGGCCAGAGTTCCACAGAATTATAACCTGCGGTGCCTTCTGCTTCCCGTCATCAGCTTGTCAGTCACGAGGCGCAGTTACCCTTAATGTAAGAGTATGCAAGCAGCAGGTTGCCCAACAGGACTCTTTCTCCATGTCCTCAGCCCAATCAGCACTTCTGTCTCTGAAGCACTCATCACAGGCTGCCTGTGTGTCCCCTGGTGCCACATGAGAATGACTATACTTCTGCTGCTGCAGCTGCTCATCACATCAATGCCTTGTGAGCAGGTAAATCACAGGTCATGAACTTCTGTCTTACACACCAGTTCAGGCCTCAGGAACCCTCTCAGGGACACTTGTGAAGGACAGACATGAGAAGGTGAGGAGTAGAAGAATAGAAGCAGTGAATCTAAAATTCTCAACTAGTGAAGCTGAGCAGTAGTCTGTAGACACACATCAGATGCATACTTCAGCTGTGGGATTTGGTCTTACAAGCCTACTTACCCACTGCAGACAGTACCTAAATGAGGACAGAGTCTGGTGTATACTTCAACTACTAGAAGAGCCAAGCTTACATTAGCAGGTACTGGCCTACCTCAGGGGTAGTGCCACTCAGCCAGACTGGAATCTATTCATGTGTCAGTTTCTGTACCACTCAGGCAGCACTCCAAGCTTTAGCTGTTTTGATTTCAGGTATTACTTTCAAGTGGTTGTGCTCTCAGGTTACCCTTTTCTATTATGCACTAGCAGTTTAAATTAACCTGTTTGGAATTAGCCTCTGGTAAGGCAGCAGCAACAAACAGCACCTCCTCCCAGCTGAGACTGCAGCTGATTTACATGAGATTTCTCTGTCCTGTTCCTGACCATCTCTGCTCTTCACGTAGCACTCTGTGTTTGCTTCTTTTCAAAAAATTTAAAAGTTACATTGAAATGACATCACAGTTTGCTAAACCAACCCTGCAAATCTCAGAGTAACTAATTCAGTTTCAATTTGGCTCCCCTGTGTATTCTTCCATTATAAGATCTTTACACCACCATGATTACAAGCCATTGTAACAAGACAAGCTGCTTGTCTCATTCAATGCAGATGATGGTCTTATAACAAGAATAAGAACTGTAGAGACATTCCTGTTTAATACTGAATTGTTTAAAAAAAAAAATCAAAACAAGTCCTGAGGTATTAGTTGTGCTCTTATTTTCTGGGTGAAACTCTTGGTACCTAGGGTCTAGTTTGAAGGTGTTCTACGTCAACTTCAACAGTGATGTATGAGGCTGTATTCAGATCCCAAACTCACAGTCTCAATTTGAATCTAGAGAAAACAGAACTAATCTCTCCAGTCCTCATAGACACAGTGAAAGTTAGAATAGTAGGTTTATTAATGGTTCTTCTCTGGAGTAACTGCTTCACACAGCAAGCATTCTCCACAGTCTTAATAACTCAAATAAGGTCACAAACAGAGAATTAAGGTAAAAAACCAGATTCCTAGTGAATGAACATCATTGGTCATGTGTTTGAATGGTACAGTGGCACTGGAAAATAGGGTGATAATGTATTTATAAGCTCTATTCAGTGTTAACACAGAAACAGCAAATCCAATGTTTTCACAATATGAACACAGACATTCAAAATAAGAAATATCAGAGGGTTTTATTTATAACTAAGTTTATGTATTAAGAAGCAATTTAAATTTTCACTAGAAGCACTTTTTTTGCAAAAAGGTTATACCAACTCTACAAACCCCTCAATTTGTAGATCCTCCTCTTAAGACTACCTGACTGCCAAACAGTGCTTGCACAGCATCAAGCCTTTCTCTTTGTCACTCTGCCCTCACAGCAAGTAGGCTAGGGGGGGCGAGATACTGGGAGGGCACATAGCCAGGACAGGTGGCCCAAACTGACCAGAGGGATATTCCATACCATATAACATCACAGTCACCAATAAAACTGAGGAGCAGTCTTTCTGGTGCTGGGCGGTGGTAAGTGATTGTATTTGTACCACTTGTTTTGTTCCCCCCTCATCTCTCCCCACTTCTTGCTCCCTCACTTTAACTGTCTTTATCTCAGCCCACGAGTTTTTCCTCAGTTTTGCTCTTGTTCCACACAGCGGTTGGGTTAGGGGTGAGTGAGTAGCTGCCAGGTCTTCAGTTTCTGGCCAACACCATCCCACATCAGGCTTGCGGTTTTATGACAGGACAGTGTTGTTAGAACAAAATTCAGTCACAGTGATCTTCAGAATTAATTGCTGCATTTACAGATGCTAGACAACTTTATAAAGAAAGGACCAACACTGCCGTCAAAAGAAAAAGCTACTGTGGTATGCAAAGAAGATACCAAAATTTTCTCTAGTGAAGAGCAACTCAGAATTGCTGTGAATCAACAATCATTACATGGAAGCAAGAAAATAAAGCTTCCACAAATTAATTGATAGGGAATGACACTTCTAAAAGACAGAAAAAGGAACCATTTTTATATGGGTAAAACCACTTTTCCATAACACTTATTAGAAGCAATATTTTATTAAATTGAATGAGATTCAGAGGTTTTAACTTTTCCACTGAGTTAGACTCAGTTTAAATAGCGTGATTTCAAGGCCCATATTTTGTTCTTGTCTATGGGTGTTGAGGTCTTTGCTTGGTTGTTTTTTTAATATGTTTTTTCAGTTACTCATACTAGCATACCCACTTCATTAGCTACAAACCCATGAAACATCCAGAAGATTTTTTTTGTTACCATTGTCTTGAAATCATTATGAAAAAAGGTGAACATATCCTTCAGTGTCTCACGTGCTATGCAAAAATGAGAGCATATTAAATGTTTTCCATTCTTCTGAAGGAAAATAATTCGGAACAAAGAATAACCTTAAAGCTTAGTAGTAACCATCTAGATAATGAGCACCTAACAACCACCTTCAAACTGGATAATATGTTTTAGTCAAATTTCAAAACACAAAAATATAAGAACATTGTTTTTAAACAAAGCTTACCTTTAACTTCTTATTTAGTTTACAGCAGTATCTGTATAACATTGCCAAATTTAGAGGTCCAAAATCTCCATAGAAACTGGGAGAAAAAGAACAAAGAAAGATGTTACTTACACAAAAGAGCTAAGCAAATTTCAACATGCATGTTGTTGATAGTTAAAGCTGCAAATCAGTAACTTTTGGAGGATATCAACTAGCCACTACATATGGTGGAACAGATAAGCCCTTTATTGATTTAAGAGGACAATAGCAACAATTAATTTGAAAGCATTTGATGCTCCAGTAACCACCCTTTCTATTACAAACACACACTAACTACAGAAATTTTTTCTTCATCCCATGGTATCATGGGTAGACATGATCTACTCCCCTTTAAGCCATGCTGATGTCATTCTAGATAAAGGTTCTATAACTGCTTAAGATGAGAATATGTCATTAGATATTATGAATAAGCAAAATAGAATTTCTTATGGGTAGTAAAATTTCTTTAATAACCTCAGTCTTGATCTCTGAAATTTAAGCTTACTTCTTTTTATCCCATCCTCCACTACTCCAGAGAGTATATATTACATATATACTTTGCATATAATTATGTTTCCCTTTTTCCCCCATTCCTCTTGTCTCTAGGCTCTTTTCCATTTTAGTATTTATTTCATGTATTCTGATTGGTTTTGTTTCTCTAGTCTAGATTCTTCTTAAATATTCGTTTTACCTTTGAAGCAGTAATCATTGTCCTTAGGATAAGAGCTAGTAGCAGTAGTCTGTACAGGAAAATTATTGTACAATAAAAGCAAGTTCCTGGTAGGGATTCACAGTGCTCTTCCCAGTTAACCCTTCACATGGGCACCTTTACAAGTAATAGCAGCCTTTATGCAAGCAACTTACAATGTCATCTTCTAGAGCATTCACCATTGTGCAAAATTGTTCAAAATTTAAGTTGCAAGCTTTCTCCAATTTTTTTTTTCCTTTTTGTGTATAGAAGTCTATCTTGATGGTCTATAAAAGTGTGTTGATGCATATGTTATATATTACAGTAATAATGGACTAAAACTGTTTTAATCTGCTCTGCCTTAAGTCTTTCCATCAAAGGACACTTCTTGCCTATTGACAAACAAAACGGGCCATCAGCATCTGAATGGATGTTATTTGGGGAATGACAAAAGAAAAAGGTAACTATGTTCTACAACTTCTGGGCTTTGAAGTAGTGAAAACTTGCTGAAATCAGATGATAGAATAGGTGGTAGTACCTTTAAAGCTTTCTTCTCCATGGCAGAGGGCTTATTTTTCAGGAAAATTAATTACGTTCCAGTTAAACATAACAAGAAAACTTTCACTTTGAAGGCAGTCAAACATTGGGAAGAGATTGCTCAGAGAGGCTGTGGAGTCAAGGCTAAACAACTCGCTCTTGTTGACCTTGCTTTGAGCCCAGGGGTTGGATTAGAGATCTACAGAGGTGCCTTCCAGCTTCAGGCATTCTGCTATTCTAAGTGGACACAATGAAGTAGGAGTGCCCCATCTTTTTGGTGCTTATAACTTCATCAATATCCTCCTCCCACATTCTCTCAAACAAAAAAACCAAGCCAAGTGTGAAGAGAGACAACTACGTTAGTCTGATTACTGCCTAGGCCGTATGACCTGCCTGCCACACCAATGCTATTTCAGTATCACCTACTTCACAGTATTCAGTAACAACATAAGTGTTTGTTAAGATTCAGTTCAACCCTTCAGCACAAAATATTATGACATAATGCTTAATTACAGAAGCTCATTAACTGGGTGAAAGACTAAGCCGTCCAACTCTTCGGACTTTATTTGTAGACTGTATAGAAGTTAACTAACTCAAGACAAAATTGCAGTCACAGTAAATCAGGGTTTAACTTCAGTGTTCCTCATGTTTTCTTAGATAACTGTTGACCATATCTGGCAGACTTACTATTTTTAAAATAAAACCCTTCATACAGTTTTTACTACAGATGAGACAAAAAGTTCTAAGGAGGACAAGTATAAGTTACGACAAATAAGTTAAAACCAGAGCTCTAACAACACTGGAGTGAACATAGCATCTAGGAAAGCTATATAGAAGGCTTACCAACTTCTCATCCCATTCTGCTGCACTAACACCTTCTCAAAACAAAAAACCCAATCCTATTTTGTTCCATTAACTTTAGAGTATTCTTTCACTTAAATATAGGATGAAAGAGTAGAATTTAAGATTTTATGATTATTTTGCAGAAAATATTTTTAGAAGTAGTGTGGAAGTGTGGAATATGATAGTCACTAGAATACAGAATACTTTTTTTTTTCAAACCAGTGTGAGCAAAGTAGCTTTGATCGGCTCAAAGATAACTGAATACACAGTTCATCTAAAGTACTGAAGAACGACAATCATGCTTTAGGATAAGCTTCTATTACTATTCATTTGTTAGAAGGACATCAATATGAAGTCATATATCCACTTCTATTTTTCCACATGATTAAACTTAAACAGAAGTGTAGGAAAAGTACATTTAAATGAATTTACAAGTCAATTTATCCACAACAGACACATTATTTACTATTTTGGTGGGGATAAGGATAAAATACATTTGAGTCTATCCATGAAGTGATTATTTTCTACAAAGTAAAGCTCATCAGATTCTCTCAGCTGCCAAGCTAAAGATGTCACAATCTTAGAGTGACTATTTCTCCATCACCTATTATCATTAAGTATGCTGTGCTTCTCTTAACACAAAAAAAAGTATCCATGTTTAAGACTCTGGTATTACCACTGTTTGTCTATGCTGCAGAAATATTTCTCAGAATCCAAACACAATCATAAAAAAAGGTACTTTTGGTCAGTGTTGCACCAGCATGATTACCTACAGGATTACCAAACACTGGCAATTCCCAAGGGATTTACATAACACCATGTATGCAGTATAAACCAGCCGTTGGCTTTGTTGATAAAACTTCTCCCTCAGGTATCTGCCACAATGTTATTTGCTACATGTACAATTTTAACTTTCTCCACTTAATACATCTTAATTGGAATAAATTTGAATGTCCATTTTTTAATGGGGCCAAATGAAACAAGTGCTTTATAAACCTCCAAATCAAAGAGTTCTCTGAAAGATAATACTCTGTATTGAAGTCAATGAACTCTGATCAACAAAACCTTTCTTCAACTTATATGCTTAGAACTAAACACAGTTTCTGACATGTTTAAACAGAAGGGTTTAATCTTATGCACCCTCATTACTTTTAGTATAACAGCCCATTTTTGTACTTGAATTATACACTTGACCCTGACTCACCTAGAGGATTTTGTTAAGAACAGAATTTTGACATTGAGTTAAATATAAGTGGAATACAGGAAATGGGGGCTATGGGGAATGGGGAAGAAATGACACACAAAGTCACCATCCGAACAAAGAATTTTATCTGGCAAAAGTTGAAGATAAAAAACATAAGAAATAAAATCTTATTATATGATAGTCACTGATAACTATCTCCCCAATATTATTCTACTTCCATCTCTTTTACAGGTAATAGGCTTTCTTTGTATCTAGATGTTTTAGGAAGCATTTATACACAATAAGAAACCAGAATGCCTCTGAAGCTTAAGCCAGTTAAGAGAAACAGTCATTCAGAATGGAGGTGGGAACCAGATACGAGGAACACAAAGCAAGTATGGTATTAATCTACATTTAATTATATTTTGTTTTAATCAAGTACTTAGATGATAGCTTAAATTATTCTTCCCCCTCATCCCATGGAAACTTGCTATGCTTATGCTTCTCAAACTAAGAAGTAGCAAAAGCCCAGAATATACTAGATGACTATTTAAATAATCTACGTCAAAAATACTACCACAATGCTACCTGGAAGCACTTTCTTGTAGGTTTCTTGTATCTGTATTCTCCTTAGAATAAACTCCTGGAACCACTCCTTCCTATCAGTTCTTATAGCACGCCCTCTGAGGTATTTTCTGTATTGTATCACAGGAATGGCCATCCACCTAGAAAGGCCAGCCCACAAAGAACTTGTTGGTCTACTCTGTCATGCAAGCAGTTGCTGTCTATTCTTCCAGGGAATTTAATGGTGTAGTCCACAGCATTTTAGGACAGCAACTCAAGTTGCTTCTGACTGCAGTTCCATGGGATGCCACGTGAAGGTGCCATGAGTCAGCTCAAGCCACATGCACCTCTTCTGAATGCTAACGTCACTTTTTACCAAGCATTTGAATAGCGCTGACCCTAGTAGAGCAGAAGAATTATGAACAACTTTCACATATTGAACTATTGGATAGAGCCTAGTTATGGTCAATGAAGGAATATATTGCCTAGCAGACTTTGAAATTAATTTTTAAACTCCATATTAACATCACAGCCAACCTCATAACTTGAAAACAGAGGGACAGTTGAACAATTGCAATCATTTTCTGGAGTACATACACTAGAATTGGAGTACAACTACTCCTTTAGGTAGGAAGATTGCCTTCTTGGAGACTAGAAACCATATGAAGTCATTTTTTCTGGCCAAACAGGAGCACCCCACACTTCTAACTACTCAAACCAAAAGATTAACCACAAGAAGTTCACGAACCAGCAGAAATACAGCTTCCTAACTGAAAAACTACCCTAATTTTTCAGCATTTTACAAAGATCCAGCTTCCTATTAAAATTAACCATTGCAACTGAATTAGAATAAGAAAAGCACTCTCAACTTGCTTTTCCCTCCGCCTTTCCTAGGCTGGATTACTGGAACATCCAGGTCACTGCACTGTAAGGCCCTTGCTGCACATGCTCTGAATCCAGCCATTAAGCAGTGCAAGAACCAGCTGCTGCAGAAGTTGCCCACTGGCTGCTATAGATAAATGGTTCAAATCATAAGCTGAACACATCTGACATGCAACAAAGTTTCTGGATGAAAGCCAAGAGGATCACTTCACACACTCATTACAACCTAAATGCTGGTCAGGAAATCTTACCTATTAGTCTTCTTTCTCCGGGTCTTGCTCCCTAGCGCATGAACAAAGGGGGATGCTCAATGGCACTGTCTTGTCTAGTCCCACCAACTCCAGTAACATGTGAATTGCTA